CACCGACCGCCGCCGCTCAAGGCGCCGCACAAGGTCGGCGGCGGCGCACCGCCGCCGCCCGCCGGCGACGTCGCCACGGCGTACAGCCTGGGTGAGACGCTCAAGGAGTCGCCCGTGCTCAACTCCACCCTGCTCAACGCCATGCGCGACTACTTTGGCGACGACGGCCGCGAGGTCCAGGACTATATGAAGCGCCGCAGGAACGCCAAGGGAGAGCCCATGTTCCGCGTCGTCGTCGTCGGCTCGGGGGAGGCCGAAATCGACGCTATGCGCATGCTCAAGGAGAGCGGCGTCATTACGGGACTGTACTACTGCCCCGATGAGGATGCTGTGTGTAATATTGCTATGAGCAAGTTTGGACGGAGCGCGACGGTTAGCGCTAATTATAGCCAGAGCGACGTCGTCAGGTTTTCGAAATGGATCGTGGCTGACGCTGTGTTTGTCGGACCGGATAGGGAAGGCTGTATTAGTAAGGAGTCGGAGACACAGTTGGCGGAGGCGGGGATTACTGTGTTTCCACATGATGTCACGGCCGCGATTGCGAACGGCACTATGAAGGCGTTGGAGTGTCTCATGCCGCTCGTGGATGATAACGAGGATGTGCCTGCGGAGCAGCTCGTGGAATGACGAATACCACAGTAGCATCGCGGCAGGTTTTGCCTTCCTAATCCTTTTTTGTTCGAATGACTTTGTCTACATCGCATTTCTTTGTGGACGAGGAGCTGCAGTGCTGAATCGTAAGGCGGAACACCGACCGCTGCAGGGCCTGTGTCGAGAAGTCGGGAGCTTGTCTAATCAACGAAACAAACTCTCGTAACATATGTCTGGCTTATTTTAGCTCTAAAAAATTGCGTCAGCGACCGTAGAGCTTTTTTCCATGGGCTGGAGCCCATTTGTTTTTCACGTCCACACTGCACTGCTCCGACTCACTTCACAAGTTGCCTCCCTCCTCCAGCCGCACCGCCCTCTCGACTGTCACCAGTCGCTCGTTTGTCAGCCAGTCTCTTAGGGAAAAAAACAAGAATTAAGAAATTAGCGGGCACACGTTTTACGTTTTGCACTTCACAGAGAGACGAAAAAGAACTCTATTCACTATCTTACATACTGAAGCTCTCGAAAGCGATCAAGCCGTCTTCAAACCTTTTAGCCAGTCTTCTTCCCACGGGGGCCACACGCGCCTGTCTCTTCCGGGCTTCTGTGACGACTTTACTCGTCACCCAGACGGCGAGCACCAGCAGCCCCGACAGGGCAAGCGTGCTTTCCAAAGCCAGTTTGGCAGCGGCGGGAAACCGTCCGGGCGGCAGACGAGACGGTGGGCGGCGCGGTACCAGGGCGGGTGGACGACGGCGCCCGATGAGCGGTTCTAAACCACGCGGCATAGGGGATAGAGGGTCTTGGGGCAGCAACAGGTAGTGGGAGAGGTTGTCGATTATTGATGTTTGGGTGGGGACGGGCGGGTGGTGGTGTTTTTGGGGCTCTTAGGACGCGTAGAGCGTCTGGAGTGGTGAGTGGAACAGGGTGTTGTTATTTATGTACTTATTGGTGAAGGCATGGAGTGGGCGTGCGTGCAGGCTGGTGGAGGGAGATTGAGGGCGGATCAGAGTGGATGCATATCTGTGCATGCTGCAAAACGAGTGGTGGATTTTCGGGAGAGAGGGCGACTTTTCGGGAGAGCAAATATTTGTCTCCAAACAGTGTCTCCAAACAGTGCTGGGAGGGCAGGATGGTACAGTCTGTAGCATCGCTGGACCACAACTGTAGCGAGGTGGTAAATGGCGTGGAAATATCTCATAGATTGCGTCCTCGGAGAGACGCAGAAGGTGGAAGCGCGGCAAATACGCTTATCATACCGCGAGAGGGGATTTGCGGAGGGTAATTGTGTGGCACCGCCTCTGTAGCTATCGCTTTGCGAAATGCACAGAGCGCGCGCTGCGGACGTCAACAACGCACGTCATGGCAAGGGCACGTCCGTGGCACGCTGGAAACCTGCGGATACTTTATATTACTTGCAGGATCCTACTCATCAATCATCTCGACTAGTCGCGTTCATCCCCGACCTTTTCGCTTTGCACAAAGAAATCGCTGGTAATTACTCAACTGAGCCTGCAGCTCATAGCATGTAAAATTCAAAAACATATCAAGGCGCAGCCGCGAGATCTCAGACAAGAGTACGTCGGCAACGTTCCCTGTTGCCAAGAGGCGAAGGTTCTAACCCCACGTTACTTTGCCAACCATCACGCTGTCAAACCCCTGCGCCTGTGGTGCAACTTACGATAAACCTATTGATGTTATCTTGCAGGTTCCCAACAGAATCCATAGCACACATTTTTTTCGCTTACAAGAGGCGTACACTTTTTCGAGGATCCACATTCCTTTACATTCCTCATTTCTCCCCAAGTCAGAATTTTAAGTTGCTTCACCAAAATGCAAGCTGCCGGTATCAGTCAGCTTTGGCGTGTTCTCCATCTTCACCCTTGTTCCCGTACAGGATAACCAATCCCAGTAAGAACACACCTATCAACATTGAGAACGACGACGCGTAGTATGGCGAGGCCATCCCGATGAACCTTTCATACTCGTTGTGCAAGTATGGTCGCACCGGCACCACCTTCATGAGCACAATCGGCGACAAACCCGGCCGGAAGTACTGAATATTGAACTTGTACACACCGATCTGGTCTGGAACGGGAATCGTCGCTGTATACGTCCCGTTTTCATTTCCAGAATAGTGCAGCCGCTCTCTCACCCATGGGTCCAACATGACAAACTCCACCTGCATATCGTCAGCAACATACGGACTCCAAACACCTTTTCCCCCATCCCACTCTTGCACATCAATGGAAAACTTGATTGTATCCTTCACCCGGAATTCGTTCGCTAGACTGCCGCTATCATCGATACTCGAATGGACCAAATTTCTCGTTCGGAGAACGCCAGCATGTCCAACCGTCCACGCTAAGAACGAAGTCAGTGCCTTCTCATGTTTCTTGCCGGCTTTATCGAAGGCGTCGTTGGAAAGCGTATCAATGCTCCCAAAATAGGACGCTCGTGATTCAGTCCTCGTCGACAGGGCAGCGGCAAGGACAGAAGCAGCGCCAGCCACTCGAGGAATCTTCGATAGCGGCCTTCGCGAATCGTCAGTAGAATAGCATGAGCCAGATCCCCACATCACTTTATCAATGAGTTCATTGTCAGTGAAAAGCGTGGCACCAGGGCCGGAGAACACAATATCACTCGCTTTGATATTTTCATCACCGAAAAGGTACTTGGATTGAACTAGGCCACCCGCGCGGATGATGGTATGGCTGCCATCGTCGAGCGATTGAAACGGCTGTTGATGATCCGTCATTTTGTTCCGTTTGTAATCAAGATCCACTCCGATACTGGAGGCGACCTTTGAGGTGTAATCTGAATACCCGTGCCCAGCAGCGACAAATAAATTATGGCCAGCATCGACGAAGCGAACAAGTGAATCCAAAGACAGCTTTCTCTCCATTTTTGTGGCCGTTGGGCAGAGAAGGACGATGGAATCATAGACGTACTCGCCATCTGCCCTTAGATCAAATGATTCAGAGTTTGCTTGTTTCACCTCGACAGTTTTCCCGATCGCTTTGAGAGAATCAACAAATCGGGAGTGTGTTTTTAGCATGACCTGATCTTCAAAAACGACGAGCACCACATTGGACTGGCCTTGAAAAGCAGCGGCAATGATCGAAGAGAAGACAGCTACTAATAGCAGACTCAAAGGCAGTCGCATCATGATGTCTGGAAAGTCGGTTCACCCTGCCGCGGCTGAGTGCAATGCCCGGGCTCCAGATTTGCTAAGGCGGTCGGTTGGTAAAACGCTGGCAGGATTTCCGCGAGAGTGCAAAATGTGGCCTGCGAGACTGTTGCGAAGCGAAGCAACCTAAGCACAGTGTTCGTCATCGACCACATTTTAATGGAAATTCTATATTTGTTGTGGAGGGATGCATGGCTGGATCCCTTCAAATTGATTGTCGACATCGAAAAATCGATAATACCGTAGTCACAGGTGTGGTCGACGCGCCATTGATCCACTGTCGCTCTCCTTCGCACGCCCTCCCGAAGTCACGATGCTCTCGAAGAGGCGCTGCATCTCAGGGTATAAACATTACTGTATCATCTCGCCAAGTTGCATTTGCAGATGCTTTGGTTGTTCATGCGTCTCTCTCTAATTAACTTTTTAAGGAAGGAAGCCTTACAGATAGTATCCAGTGAGAGAGGACAAGTTTAGGGACAGGGCTACATGCCCCTTAATCATATTCGGAACGCGCTGGGATGACTCCGTCACACAACATGCGCCAGTAGTGTACTGTACCCTTGCAGTTTACGCGTTTAGATTGAGTTGCTCAAAGCTTTCGCATCCGTCTTTTCAAGGCCTTTTTCTCGCAAGAGTGAATAATCGCGGTCCGCGCGCAGGGTGCAAGTAAGCATCCCGTTCTGAACAGTCTTGACAATTTCTTTGCATTTGAGTTGCTTCGTCGGGCGATGACGCGCATTCTTTGGCGATTTGCAAGGGCAGTTTTGTTCCGTCCTTAGGGATGGCTAAAGGCCCCACTTTTTTATTAACAATCGTATCATATGCAGGTCACTTCTCTGGCTGCAGGTCAGTAGACAGTTTTTGGTAAATACCCCGCTCCCTTGAGGCCGTCACGTACGCGTTTGCTGGTTGGTAATGAAACTCTTCCACCTCCCACAACTCTTTTTCTTACCCGAGCTTTTTCACGAGTGGAACTCTTTCTCGTTCTAATCTCAAAATGTTGCCAGTGCCTTTCGTTGCGTCGCATCTATTTCGGGGACAACTTCCTGTCTAGGCATCGCGTGACACGCAGTCCCCATCGCATCGAAAGCAGCCTGTGAATCCGTCTTCATGAATAGCATAATTGAACTGTTGTCCCTTTTTTATATGCACGCAAAGTGTACTAGTATTCCAGCTGGAAACTCCGTAGCCCTCTGTTTCGCTTCGTTCTGTTGCTATCCTCTGCACTGAGTTTATTTCACACCACGATGCAACCAGCTTCTGAATCACTATCTACACATTAGAAACTACACAAGCATGTTCCAACAGACATCACAGATCCATCTTATCGTACGTGGCCGTTACATGATACTCATCATCTGTTCGGCTTTTGACGACCGAAACTGTAGGTGGGCCCCTCGGTACCACGGGACAGTTGTAGTCTGTGTGTCTCTCCATTATCGACTGCCTATACACTCTCTCCACACTGATGCACAATCCACCTTTTCTCTCGTGAATCCAAAACGCAATCCAAATAATTAGTGCTGCAGCAAGGAGCGAAAAGTAGTACAAGATTGCCCAAACCTCTACAGTTCCTTGCTGCATGGTATTCACAGTAGTGCTGATCTCCCTTGATGTCTTCGATACGACGACGATATCATTTAGATCTCTTCCGTCTTCTACAGTGATCTGTTTAGGGCTCAGTCGTCTGCCTGACCGAGAAGCTGATTCCGATTGAGCAAGGGCTAAAACGAGTCTTCCAAATTCGTCTATCGTACAAATTCCTCGACATGAATAAAAGAACCCTTGTTGCCTCAAGAGTAAATTCTTAGAAATCACTAATGTCTCATTGGATTCTGTTCCTGCCTCTACGATGGCTTCCCCGGCATACCCTTGAAATTTCTTTTCTCGCCTCCCATACCTGAACGGTATCAATGCCTCTTGAGTTCTAATTACTCCACTCACATCATTAGGAGAGATTTCATACTCGAAAGCTCTGGCTCTGTCTGTGGCTCTGTCAATACTTCCGTTGTATACCAAATTAGACCTAATCGGAGGCACTCTCAATGAGCCCTGACTACCACATACATGGTTCCCGAATACGATTTCGTCCATCCTTGGCTCCATCTCAGTTAGTTCTAGGACGACGCTATCGCTTTGCCGCTCGTCAGACGATATTGAGCTTAATCCCAGATCAGATAGGTTGGTGTAACCAATGTGCGATAACTTGACCATATCACCCAGGCCTATTATCACTTGCTGGTGTAATCTGCTGGAATTCTTTCTTCTGCGACCTTGAACGCTGACTAGAGTTAAGCTCGCTACCAAGTCAGCCCCGGCTGTCTCCCAGGCATTGTAGCAACTAGACGTCTCGATATCGCACAATCCAACATCCTTGCTCAGAATTGCAACTGGGATGCTCGTTGAGCTCGTTGAGCTCCTTGAGCTCCTTGAGCTCCTTGAGCTCCTTGAGCGGCCAGAACGCGAGAACATAGTATACAGAGATACTATGTCCTCGGATTCGTCCCCCTCACATTTGGACCGTGTCACTTGGAGCCCTTTGTATATTTCATGTACTCCTTCTTGAGCAACACAATTATAGTTCTTGTCATTAAATGCCAGGGAGTGTAATCCGCCGTACGCACTTCTACGCGTGCTGCGGATTAGCTCGATTTTTTGTTGCGTCTTGTTCTCTAGCACTGCATACTCCAGACTTGTTATCTCTCCCGTTATATTCAAGCATGCTTCCAAGTCGTTCCCTGGCTGAAATATGTTCACCAGTTCTGGCCCACCTTCTGGCATCTTGAAATCAAGGTTCACAGACCTTACCCCCTCTTTCATCACTTCTTCAGCCCCGGATCCATACTCTAGCGGCAGATATAGCAGCCCTGCCAATACCACCACAAACAGCGTCTTAAGCCTCCACCACGATGAGTTGAGGTCGATTTCATGGTGCATACCAACAAGCCCGAGCCTCGTAGAACGCAACCTCAGCCCTGGCTTCCTTCTTACTTTCAGGCCGTAATACGCTGCGTTTGCGTAGTTGGCCGCCAGCTCCAGGACAGGCGACAATATGAAACTGACAAGAACGAATTTGACTACATTCCACATTGAAATTTCGATGTGCGTGCGCATTCTGAACGTCGGTAACGTTTCACACGGCAGTCTTGACAGGTGTAGACTGCGATTCCCCGCGTAGCGAGGGGTGAAGCTGAAGGGAAAGCACTTTCACCTTTTGCAGCCGACTCTTCTCTGTCGTAGCGACCAGAAATGGCGTGAACCGGGTACGCGTTGTATGTAATGTAACAGGAAGGGGGAACAGGAAAGCGCGTTTTGCTGTTTTTGAGGAGCAAACGACCTGATATAATCGTGTTAACGACAGGAATGAGCTCTCAAGAATCGTGGTATTCCTGCGCGCGGGCATGGTCTATATGAGTGTAGGGAACAAATATCTCTCTGGTGTGCCGCAGGAAGGGTGTTAAACACCCTTCCATTCATTAGCTAACATTAGCAGGATATGCATGTACTGGGGTGTGAGAAGGTGTATTCCACCTTTCCATCGTCCAGCGACAGTATAGAATATAGTTTACAACGGCCGGCGTTAGGTGACAATTGAATGAAGGAGAAGACTTGAATCCATGGCGAGGTAGCAATGAACCTTGTTTACCGGTGTGCTGCTCAGAAAGACTTTTCAGAACCCTTGGTAAAACTTTACATGTACAGTACTGTTGGGAATGAGGCCTGTAAGCCCGGGGCCCGGGACTGTAGACTGCACGGGAAAGGGGGCGCGCAGGGCTTCGCTCGTATCACCGTGGGCGAAAGCGGAGTGCGCAGCATTGCGCTGGGTCGACGCCGAAGGGAAAGGAGGTGCGCGGGAAAGGCCCGAGCCGGAAGGGAAGGGCCGAGGGCGCGCAGGGTGGGCCAAGGGAAGGCGGGGGGCTGGAGGAAAGTGGGGATCGGGGGAGAGTAGATAAGGGGAGGAAGAGAAAAAGAGGGGGGAGTGAGAAATCGAGTGGATCTTTCGACGGGAAGAGCTCAAGAGGACTCTTGCGCTCTCGTTGTTTGACCTCCCGCTGATACCAGCAATCAATAGGAGGTAAACGAATTTCTCGGCAAACATTCTGCCTCAGGAGGAGCCACAACAGTACTGTAAGGGTACTGTATTGCTGTGGAGAAATTGAGTACAGTACACGTGTAGCAAGATGTGCTCACCTCTTATTATTGCGCGCCATTCAAAAAGGTTGTCCGTAAAATAACGCGTTGTTTATTCCATTTGCCCACAAACTCGCTGGACGGAAAGTAAACCCGAGATTTTGAAAAATTCCACGAGTTTTGCGGACTGACCTCCAGCAAGGTACCCTTCGAAGGGTACCTGCCCGCAACAAACGCAAGTCTGGCACATCGTTGTGCCGCCCGACGGATCACGTGTAAACTTTACGTGCACGAATACTCGCTGAAGTGAATATTATATTGTAGCTCGCCACAAGGATAGAAAGGTTCTCAGTCGAGAGGGCGATGTGTTTCGTCTTCTTGACAGGCTGAGGGGGGCCGTTTGGAGAGGACCGCTTTTTAGAAGCTTCTACTTGTCTATCTTTCGCGGTTGCTTCGGCGGCATCTGTGGCAGATCCTGTCGCACTTTGATATATTGATGGACTCTGCGCAGATGAAGCGATAGGGACGTCCATGACGCATATCGATACGACCCGTGCAGTCTGAGATTCGTTTGTGCTGATGAAAAGAACGAAAGACCCACTTCGTTTTCCTTCAAGACGGCTCGATCCGGCACTGCTGTGATCAGGCGGATGTGCAACTCGTAGAAAACTCACATGCCCCCAGTTTTCGGTATGATGTGAGTTTTGCCAAAGGCGTTGTCTGAAATTTTTCGTTTAGTTAATGGGCGCCTCCTGAAACCCAAAATACACAAATTGTGTGTACACAAATCACCATTTTTGTGGGCATTAGACCTTTCTCGCATATACTCAACAATTGTGCAACAA